AACAGTTCAGATCCCATGAAATCCAGAAGTGAGTCTACACCTAGACTTCCATCCTCCAATAAGTAACTCTGGGATCCTCGTCACATGCCCTTTACTGAGACCTCATTGCCCTGACATTGAACAGGTCTGACCATTGATAGGTGTGTCTGCCTTTGTCTTTAGGTCTTGGGGCCAAAGTCATGGTTATGTATTTTGTTGCAGCCTAATGTGGTTCTTGGAGGCCCAAATTTACCCTGCTATGCAATTCAGGTTCACATGGACCCTGCTAGCCAAGGAGAGCTTAGAGATGCAACCTTAATTGTCATGGTCACTTTTCACCTTTTCTCTTTTTTGGGAGTGAACCATAGTGCCATTTTGGAACTCTTATAATATTTTTTCATTGTCCCTGCCTCATGTGAAGAAAAGCCCATACAGGTAACTAACCCATTCTTTCTTTCACTCCAGCTGACTGTTCCCAGAAGCATACCCAATAGAAAAGAGCTAAGTGTTTCCAGGGCACTCATGCCCACCTCTATTGTGATCTGGCTGCCTTCTTGAAGTGAGGTGCCCAATTCCAGGGCTCCTAGGTACATGGCTGCCACAAGTTGCCCGTGCTTCTTAGGACCCCTCTGTCTTGCCCTCCTTGAACTTCCCAGACTCGTGCTCCTTGCTAGCCAGCAGCTCTCCAGTGGAAATCAGTCCTGCTTGGCCTTTCCTTACTTCCTTCAGTGCTTCACTCTGGTGGCAGACGGCACGGAGATAAAACAGTGAATGCATCCCTGCAATGGTGCATTTGGCCAACGGTCACTTTCAGTGTTTGCACATGTCTTCAACAGAATGTACCCCACCACAATATAGGCTTCTTTCTAGGACGACATAATAATGTCAACAGGGTCACACAGATGGGTCAAAGACCTGACAACTAGAAACAGTCTTGGCTAAGGAAAGGCCAGACCTTGGGAGGGTCTCCCACTTTATAACTGCCCTTTGATGGGCAGCTCCCATTCTGAAAAGCTTACTTACTAGAAAGATAAGCCAAATTTTGCCAGGTTTGATTCAGTTATAACTGGATATGTGAATACTGTAACGAAGGTGTACAGGCATTAAATAAAGCAATTACGTAGAATATTTGAGGTTCTCTTCAGTTCCCAGAATGAAATAGATGCTCTGTTATTTGCCGTGTTTTCATGCCTCCCTAGAGTGTGAATGTTTCCATTTAGAACTGTGACATTGTGTACCTCTCCATAGGGCCATACAGCATTGTCCCCCAGCCCACAATAGACATGACTCTGCCATCCTCCACCTGATTGGGGATTCCTTCAAATGGGAGCCAATCCCTGGTGCCAGAGGGCTCCATTCCAATCTTATTTACCACTTCCTGGCTGGTGACTGGCCCAGTTACCCAACCTCCCAGGTAAAATGAGAATAATAATAATAGGACCTATGACACAGGGAGTTATGAGGACTAAATGGGTTGGTTCAGGCGAGGAATTCAGAGATGTTCCAAATATGGTGTCACCCAGTACCTGTTGCCATTATGATCACTGCCAGCACACACCAGGAGGCAGGTGCCTTGCAGAGTCCAGAGACATTCTATTCGCAGTGCATCTACTGAAACACAAACTCAAACCTACCTGGATAGCACCTTCTTTTTTCTTATCACTGTTTTATAAAAACCTGCTATAGCTGGAAAAACCTATCAGCCTTCAAAGCTTTTTCATATACATACAGAGATATTTCACAATAAGAAAACTTCAACTTTTTGCGAATGGCAAAATGTGGTCAACAGTCAATTTAAATCCAATGTGTGTCTTCTGTAAGCTAAATAAAACTCCTCAGTTTCATTACATTCTAGTGCAGAGGGTCAGATATCTGTGCGCCATGTTTGGGGGAGACCAGACTACCTCATGAATAACTCTCAGAGAGGTTGTCCAGACCATCACCATTGCTGCGTTTCTCATGGTCCCACCAACGTTGCAAAAGGGATGAGAACAAAATGCAGTCAAATCCAGGTCCCCATGGCAGCCCTTCCCATAGATGGTCTTGCTTTTCAAGTTCTTGGAAACTTAACAGGCTAAGAGTTCCCTAGTTCAGCCAGAACCGAACTGCAGTATACTTGAGGTTAAAAAGCTTGCTCTAAATTGAATTTTAATTTCTTTATCTTCTACTCTTCCTTCTGTTTCCCCTCCTCTTTCTGTTTCCTTCTCCTCTTTCTCCTTCTTACTTTTAGGAAAGGAGAGGGTTTTTTTTTTTTTTTTGTCTTGCTTAATTTGATAGCTTTGAAGTTCTGATTTGGAACTATTGCTATGGTTTGAATGTGTCTCCCAAATTTCATGCGTTGGAAACTTAATCCCCAAATTCATATGTTGGTTGGAAATGGGGCTTTTGGGAGGTATTGAGGAGTAGATTAGACCATCAGGGTCGGGCCCCCATGATGGGTGTGATGGCTTTATAAGAAAAGGGAGAAAGAACGAAGCTGACATGTGTGCTTTTGCTGTCTTGCCATGTGACACCTTCCCCTGTAGATGCTGGCCCCTCAATCTTGGACTTCCCAGACCCCATAATGGTAAGAAATAAATTTATTTTCTTTTTCTTTTAATAAATTGCCCAGTCTCTGGTATTCTGCTATAGCAACAGAAATTGAACTAAGACAGCTGTTATTTAAAAAAAATGCTAACGTATATTCTCCCTCATTCAATGTGGTTCGAAAATACAGATGCCCACTATCAAAGGGACATCTGCACAAACATAGACATCACCACTGCTAAATAGCAGGTACCATGGAGAACAGAGCAATGAACCATTTCCTCATATGGAAAGAAAATAGCCAATAAAACCCAAGCAAAGAGCCCAAAATAGCTCCACTTCACTTTCGAGCCCTCTTGTGTAGAGCCACTTATCCAGGGCCAGGACTAATTGGTGCCAGGTGCCTTGTAGAAATGCCAGCTTCATGGATTTCTCACTCTCTGTGTGGGAGGATGACTTAATAACACATATTTTTCTGGAGAATATTTGAGTCTTATTTCTGAGGCTGTACCCAAAGATGGCAGCCTTCCTCTGTGTGAATAAATAAATTGCACTGAAAATAAGAAAAGAGGTCCAGGCAAGCTATGCCTGCCTGGACTGAAAAATAATTATAAGTCCACAGTGCTTAGAGGCGATACTTTATTACAAAGACTATCAGAGCTACATTTTCAGTCTAGTGGTTTTCTAACTTATAGAAATGTATTTTTCAGATAAAACCTTCCCTTGAACCACAGCAGAGATATGTGCGGAGCTGCTCTGGTTACATTTGGGGTAGAGGATTAGGGCACTGTACATTTGGTCTCTCCTTTGGTTCCCACTTGAACTACTCCCCACTCTCCCCACAATGAACCATGGAGCAGAGTGTGGAAATTACTATTACACTGGTTATTGCTGAATACATAGTACTCATTACTACAGAGGAGTAAACTGAGGCCTGAAGAATTAAGTGAGACACCAAGGTGGTGGAGTTGGTGCTATTGCTGGGACCTGCAGCCTCCTGGCCCTGCCAGCTCCGTGCTCTGTGACACTTAGCAAGGCAGCCACCATTTGGACAGCACGTGCGTGTCACTCCTCAACAGGAAGCAAACACTTTAACTATTTCGACCATGAATGTAAAGCCATGGATTGAAATAACCTCCTTAGAGCTAGCAGAGCCCTTCAGGGCTTTCTCCTTTTCCTGTAGATTCAGGATTTGGGGCTCGGGAAACAACATTATTCTGAAACAGGAGATCTGGTTTGGTTCACATGCCGGTGCTAGTAATAGGAGGAGAACTTGGATAGCCGGGCAGCCTCCTGTCCTCCCCTCACAGCCCTTCTTCGCTGCCTCCTCCTGGCGCTGCCTGGCCCCGTGGAGTGGTGGCCAAGTGCTACGTGAACGGACTTCGCACCATGGGGTGGTGGAGGCTGCCCACCCAGGCCCCTTAGCAGGAGGCTGGCGACCAGGAATGGCATCTCAGACAGTCACAGCCAAGCTGACAGGCGTGTGTGTGCACTCGTGCACCCGCTTATGTAGCACGATTGTTTTCTCTAATTAAAACAAAGTATATCTTATAAGGAAAATTTATACAATACAATACGCTTAAAACAAGAAAAGTTACTACACAGGGAGGTATTTTAAAGTATATATCCTTTATCCTATATATACATTCTGTCTTGCTTTCCTTCCTTCCTCCCCTCTCTATTTCCTCTCCTCCTTTTTCTCTCTTTTGCATTCCATGAAAATGAGATCTTACTGTATCTGTTCCCCTTTTATGTACTTCATATACTGTGAATATCTTTTTGTGCTAAATACATAATAATATATCATTGTTGAGGGTTGAACAGTATTCTTTTGTTCTGTAACTCATTCAACTACCTCTCTACTTTTTAATATTTCTTTTTTCTGCTTTCATAAAGAGCATTCTATTACTATTTTTAGTTATACATCTTCACATATGACCCCAGGATGAATCTCTAGAGGTGGAATTGCTCGATATGCAAGGTGAACACTTAACACTCCGACCAAATTGCTTTTGCTAATTTCGTCCTAAACAGCTACACAGGTGCCTGATTCCCTGCACCTCCGTCGACTGGCCAAGCTAGGTTAGAAACGTGGTGCCAGGCTGGCCACGCAGAGACATCAGCAGGACCAAGCAGAGTCTGGCACATCCAGTGGGTGGGACGTTGTATTCAAATGGCTGTTTGAGTTTTACTGAGACTTTCTACACATGTGTTTCAGTTTTCAAAAATGAACACAGGGAAAAAGAATTAAAACAAAGAGGACTTGTTTCTCTTGATTATCTTTGAAAGGATGTAAGGTGAGGCATGGACAGGCTCAGACTTAAGTTGACCCTGCATCACCGGGAAGGGCTTGCCGACATGGCAAGTCTTAGGGTCGTCAGTATGAGGAGCAGCAGTCACCAGCCCCTGCAGCAGGGGTGAAGGAAAGGGGGCTGAAGCTGCCTTCCTCTTCTTCCTCCTCTTAGCTTCTTCCCGGAGGAGGAGATGGGGCTAAGGAGGTGGGCGGCAGAGGATGCCCACCTCCTGTTGCCCCTACCTGGTAGCCTGAGCTGTAGTGGACGGGCAGCAAGGTGACAAGGATAGGACTCCTGTGTCCCTGCCTTTCCCTCCTAAATAGTTGTCCATGGAGGAATTTTGAAAAAGCAGACTTGCATCATTTTCTCACCTCTGGCTTCCCTGGCCGTGCCCTTCCTGTCTCTTACAGTTCCCCCTCTGTCCTCCCCACAGCCCTGTGTGAGGATCAAGTGAAGCAAGAATGGCAGGCCGTGGAGAAGGGGCTGAATCAAATGTGTAAGTGGGGAAGTCTCCTGGGCGTGCTAGAGACCCAATGGGAGCAGACATGGGCTCCCCGGGACCCCACGAGCCCCGCAGGCCTGCCCAGGAGGCTGTTCAGGGGAGGCCTCGTAAAGAAGACAGCTCTGAGTGGAGACTTACGGTATGGTCTCCGGAGCTCTGGATTTTCTTTCGATCCTTCAGCCACTTCCTGCCTTTACTTCCCTCTTATGCAGACTTGAGGGGCACCCATGGAGTCAGCCGCTCTCCTGCCATGACCCTTTCTCCTCGGTCCCACTCCAGAAGCTCTGCCTGGCCTCACCTACACCCGTGTTTTCCATGCTTCTCCCCAGACTGCCGAGGGCATCTGGGGAAGCCACGCAGCCCTGCAGATGGGTGGCCTCAAGCCACCTGGGGCGCTCAGCAGGCCCCAGAGGCCTTTTGTTTGTTATTATTGTCATTCTCTACGGAAGGATTTCCAGCCTACTCCTCTGTCCTTAAACACTTGCTAATCACCCACCTCCCCTGCCAGCCCAGCGCACACACGCTTATGCGGCAGGTGGCAATCAATCGATGCCCTCTCCAGTGTTTTCCAAAGAGATAAATAGAGTCATCAACTAGAAAAGTCCATTTTATGAAGAGTCTACCTAAAACGGGGCTGGGGAGAGCATGTGACAAGAGGGAGAATGTGCCAAAGGAGAAAGAGAGCCTCTCAGAGGAGAAGGGGCTGGGGAGGGGGAAAGATGGAAATTCTCCAACTCCTCGGACTTCCTTTTGTCTGTCGTCCTCGGGGCCTTGCGTGTCTGTTATGGCTCAAGGACGCCTCAGCAGGCACCGCTGGGAGGGGCGAGGTTCCAGCTAGCGTGACCACGGGATGAATCCCCATTATCCTTTAGCAGGTCCATTTTAGACTCAAGATGACTGTGGTCAGACCTAGTTTTCCACAGAGATTTAATTAACAATTTTTCTGGGCTGCGTTCCCTGGGGCACATTTAGAGTCAAGCTCAGTGCCGAGCTTTCTGGGGAGTTTTGAGCTCTACCAACTTCTCTCCGCCTGGACACAGCACATTAGCCACAGAAATGTGTAGGGAGAATCCAACGCCTGACGAGGAGCCAGAGTTTGGCTCCGTGAGGAGAAAGTCTTTCTACGTACAGGGCGCTTGGAGGAAAGGCCTCTTTCCTGCTGCTCAGGGGTGACCGGTCTGGAGGGTTGGGCTGTGCCAGGGTTGGAGGACAGGCCACCTTCACCTCCGTCAAAGGGGCAGCAGTGGGCCAGGCTAATGAGGATCCTCTGGGAGCTCGAGAGGTGCACATGCATTCACTTAAAGCAAGGTGGGACCCTGCCAATTTGTCCGGATGCGCTGCCAGTTGGCAGTGAGATCGAATCCTCCCCAGGACAGCCCAGGAGAGCGGAAGGCCGGGCCGGGCCCCTGGCCGGGCGGCGAGCAGTAGCTTTCACGTGTGGAGAGGCGGCGTCTGAGCGTGAACCGGCCAGCATGGGCCCAGTCCCTCCGGATTCACTTCGTGGTTTTCTGCCAGCGGCTGTAATTTTTTCCAAGGGGAAAGTTCGCATTTGTTTTCGGTGTTCTCAAGTGCGTGTGCGCGTCCGCTCGCGGTGCCGAGGGCGTGTGCTCGTCCAGAGGAGCTGGCAGGCGCGCTCGCTCCTCTTCTCACTTCCAGGGCTTGACCCCGAGACCTTGTGTTCTCCCCGCGCCTCCGCCACGCAATCTCCCCGGTCTCCTTCCTGCGCGATGATTTCCCCTGGCCTGTCCCGGGGCATTTTATGTCAACAGACTGGAATGTTTCTCTCCTCCATGGCAAAAGCTTCCTTGGGCCTGGTGGACTCAGAGGTAGGGGAATTCATAAGAATAGGGGAGCCGGCCCCAAATTGCGTCCTGTTATATCTTCCCACGAGGACTAGGGGAGGGGGAGGACAGCTCCCTGCAGTGTCCCGCAAGGGAGAGAGGCAGACGCCCTTTGTCCTGCCAAAGCCACGTGGAGCCAGACGGAGCCACAAGCATACCTGCGGTGGCCAGAGGCCCAGATGGAAAACGTAACCTTAAAGATGACTTTGGCACCTCCTACTTGCCTGCCTGGAACACTGTCCCTCGTGAGAATTCGGGAAAGTAGGACTCTCGTTCCCGCTTGACAGATGGAGATGCCAGGCTTCAGGTCTAAGTCGGTCACATTCCCAAAGTGACAAGAGAACAGTGTACGGTTGGCCTTGCTTGATTGTGAGCTGAGTGGTGTTGTAAGGTTACACCTGGCCACGTGGGACACAAGCACATTCTAGAAACTTGAAACATCCAGGCCTTGCCAGTCCTGAAAGCAGTTTTTACCCAGAGCAGAAGAGTTGGCACTCTGATTTGAGGAGGCAGCAGGAAGCTCCCACACTACACATGTGAGGTTCCATCATTTAGAGTCATTCTGCGGTTAATGGATCATCCCCAGTTACAATGAAAATGTCTTTGTGTATATAACCCTCTAAGCAGTCGTTTACATCCAAGTGTGAATTAATTTCTCGAGTCTTGTTCAATGTAACAGCTAACTGAGGGCTGATTTTCTTTCCTTTATGCATTTATTCTTTCCATCAACATGCATTTAATGAACACCCAAGGACAAGATACTGTGTGAGTTCAAAGAGGAATGAGACCTGCACTCTGCCCTCAGGGAGCTTACAGTTTAAAGGGAACCTGAGCCCCTGTAAGGTAGCGTGTAGCATGTGACATAAGAATAGAACAAATGGAAAAAAAGCAATTGAGAGCAGGAACTGAGGAGATGGGGGCATCGCTGGAGGAGGCAACATGTGGGGAGGGGCTTTGTGGGGGAAGGTCATGATTTCAGCCGGAAGCCATGGCGCTAGAGAGGGTACCCATGGAGAGAAGGGACAGGAAGGTGTCGCTGGGAGGCTCGGCCAGGACAAAGGCACGGGGCTGGGAAGCTGCCACGTTGGCTTGGGGAATTCAAATGGTTTGGTTTGACTTAAGTACAGGGTGCGTGGAGGGGAGTAACAGGAGACAGAGGTAAAAAGGCGTTTTGAGGCCTATTTTTAGAAGACCTTGTGGGCCAGGCCAACGGGTGTGGTGTCTTACCCAGGGGGCAGTGGGAGACGTTGAAGGTCTGTGAGCGGGAGAGTGCCGTGACTCAAACTGCGCTCTAGGAACGATGGATCAGAGGCTCTTGGGGGGCCGTTTATTCTAGGCAGAGGTAATAGAAGCCTGAGCTGGGGAGATAGTGGCGGGAATGAAAGGAGGGAACAGATACACGAGATGGCCCGATATTGTGACCTAGTAAGAAATGCATCCCTGGTCTTTGGCCCCAGTTCCAGGTCCTGACACAGAGCTCTTAAAACCCTTGGAATTTCCTCCATGATGTGATGGGTGAGAGGAGTGTCCTCTGTTAGCTATAAGCCCCCTTCAGCCACACCTGAGCTTATGCTAATGAATGGCTGGTCGCTGGGGACCCTTAGGTAGCTTCAGGATGGGGGCTGGTCACCAGGAAGACCAAGGCAGGATTAGAGAATTGAAACTGTCAGCCCCATCTCTAACCTCTGGGGAAGGAAAATGGGTTAGAGATTGAGTTAATCACTAGTGGCCAGTGATTTAAGCAATCATGTCTATGTTCTAGAACTTCCAAAAAATCCCTAAATAGTGAGATCCAGAGGGCTTCTGGGTTAGCAAACCTGCAAATGGAGGTGCCGGGAGGGTGGCGTGCAGGGAGAGGGCATGGAAACCTGTGCCCCTTTCCCTGTAGCTTGTCTCTTCCATTGGCTCTTCCTGAGTTGTATCCTTTATAATAAGCCAGTGATCGAAAGTAAACAGTTTTCCTGAGTTCTGAGAACTGTAGTAGCAAGTTACCAGAACTGAGGAGAAGGTTGTAGGAACCCTCTGACTTTATGGCCTGTTGACCAGAAGTATGAGTGGCCTGAGCTTGTGACTGGTGTCTGAAGTGGAGGCAGTCTCCTGGGACTAGGCCCTCGTATGTGGGGTCCGAGCTAATTCTGGGTAGCGAGTGTCAGAGTTGCATTGAATCATTGGACCCCCAGTTGGCATCCAGAGAGCTGGAGAACTAGTTGCGGGTGTGGAAAAAAATTCACGCATTTTGGTGTCAGAGTGTTGTGAGTAGAAACAGACCATGGCAGCAGATGGGCTCTCGGTTACAGAGTAGCTGCGGTGTGTGAGGAAGAAGGAGATGTGAAAGGTGGCCAGAGGGTCCAGTCTGGGTGAGTGGGAGAGCATGGAAAAGAAAGCGGAAGCCCAGGAGAAGGAACCAGCTGAGGGTGGGAAGAGGGGACGTGCTATTTTAGACACAGTGACAAGCGCCAACAGCTGTCCTCCAGGTGCAGCAGGTCCTCCTTGTAGTGGGAGTGTTGAGTGAGGGTGACAGACGCGGATGGTGCATCGGGGAGAGGCGCATGGCCTTGGGAGGGCAAACCTGTCTCATTCAAATACATTTTACTATGTGCTGGGCACTATTCTCAATATTGGGACTCAGTATGAACAAGGACAAGTCACTGCTCTCATGGAGCTTTTTCTTCTTTGGGCACAGCAAATAGGGCCAAACTCCTAGGCAGAGCCCTATACCATATCTTTCCTTCCCTGGAAGGAAGGGAAGAACAAGGACAGTATGAACAAGGACAAGTCACTGCTCTCATGGAGATTTCTCTTCTTAGGGGACAGTTAATGGGGCCAAACTCCTAGGCAGAGCGCTACACCGTATCTTTCCTTCCCTGGTTATCATTCTCGATGTGGAACGATTCAGCATCCACTCCATCACTGCCCGAAGGAAGGGCTTCCAGCTCCACAAGCAATTCTGGACCCTCCCCGCAAACATCCTGGTGCCTGCCATGCAGGTACCACCATCCAGTCCCTTGTAGGAGTGACCACTATTCTGACTTCTGTCATTGTACATTTGTATTGTTTGACCTTAGACTTTCATATAAACACTCATTTTGAAGGGGCTTCATTTACTCAATATTATAATGTTGAGTAGAGTTGTAGCTTCTTTTCTGTGTTCTTTTTTCCCCCGCTGGGTAGTATTCCATTGCAAATATCCCACATTCTATTTATCCATTCTACTACTTATGAACATTTTGGTCATTTTCTGTTTCTGGCTTTTATGAACAAATCTGTTATGAACCTTTGCATCTATGATATTTCATGGGCAAATGCACTCATTTCTCTTTGGTGTTTGCCCGGGAGTGGAATTTCTGGGCATTCGTCAACTATTTACTGAGCACCTGCTTTGCACCAGGTCCTGTGCTGGCTGCTTGGTATTGAATGTGAGCAAAACAAACGTGGTCCCTGCTCTCGTTAATTTTACCAACCTGTTGGGGAGGCTGACAAACAAATAGTCACATTAAATGATAGCAGGAATAAGAACTCTGAAAAAAAAAGGAAGATGTCAGACACATTTTCAATTTTCCCAGTACTTAGAGCGCAGGAAGAACCACAGTAGATCTGGGCATGACACACTCTCTGGAGATGTGTGATCCATACACAGCTGCTCTGATGGCCCCTGGGGCAGGTGTGACAGCTGAGCTGGGAGGTGGGTTTTGTGTGGGGACTGGGTGAAGGCAAGTGAGAATTTCAGCCCCATTCCTCAGGTGGATTCCTGGTCTCTGGCTCTGGAGGTGAGTGGGATAATTCAGAGCTTATGCCCCACTCCCCAAAGACTGGTTTTAGCACATATGCAGCCTGCATTTTAATATTATTCCTTCTGACTGGAAGCATTTGGAAATGGTCCTTGCCCCTGGTTTTAAAAGGTGGCGTTATTTTATGAACATTTAGATATTGATTAATAAAATTCTGAACTCATTAACTAATGGGGAAATGCCAAACTTTTCTGCATGTCCAAGAAAGTAAATGCAATAAAAGCTATCCCAAAAGGTAAGTTAAATTATAGCCTTTGCTTTTCCTCTCCTGATGGTCCCACCAGATGTTTGCAAATGCAGGACGCAGGCCTTTTTTTCTGTTCTCTCCAGGGAAAGGAGAGGGAAGGCTTGGCTCAGATATGCTAATTTTCAGGAGGAGAAAAAAAAAGCAGGACAAGGTCTGTTGGGATTTGCCATGCTGCTGGTTCATTAATCTGGAGACAGGGTACTAGGGCCTCGTCCATTTCTAACCGCTTTTTCTTAGGAACCCTCCCACTCCCCTTTCCCAGATCACAGTCAAGAATTTTGCTCTGATTTTGGAAGCAAGAAACTGAGCTTGCCCAGCAGGCATCAGCCCTGTGAGGCTGCAGGCGGCCCTGCTGTTTGTGCTCAGTGGAGAGGGACAGGGCCTCCCCGCCAGCCAGGGCAGGACCGTCCTTTGAGGAGTCCCCTTGCAGCACTGAGAGGCTCATGGCCGAGGGGTCAGGGAAGGGTGGGACCAGCACCTTCCCCCAAACAGCCTCCTTAAGGCTCAGAGTTGCTGTTCTAAATGGAGATCTTGATTTCTCCACCCTCCCTCAACCCTCATCCAAGTTTTCTGAGCCTGAAAGGAAATAAAGCAGCTGAAACATGGAAGGACAGGATATGTCCAATCCTCACGGCCCTGCGGTCACATCCTCCACTTCTGCCGTGTGATGAGCCATGGAAATGTTTAGGGCCTGGCTGCAGCTCCTTGCCTGGGCGCCCGGGCAGCTTCCACGCCGCGGCTTCCCTCCTCCCCCCGCCCTGACTCCACTGCCGGGCCAACTTGTCATTGGAAATGAAATGCAGAAGTCAGAGATTCTCTGCGGATTTACCCAGCCCTGAAAAATCCCCCCTAAGAAGCGCCTGTCACATCCTTTCCGGAGCTAGAGCCGGGCCTGGCCCCGCTCAGAGGCAAGGGGCGGTGGCCCAGGAGCGGGGCTGCTCGCCTTCCGACGACCTGGCCGGCACTCGGGGGGTGGCGCCATCGAAGCCACAGGATGGAAACTGGGGCTCTGTGGGGAGCCGCCCTGTCCCAGGGTAAGGTCAAGCTGGCTGGTGGTGTGGGAACAGTCCCCACACAGGAGGAGCGCTTGCAACACACGATGTCTATCTCCTTCACGTTTACCTTCCCCTTCGGGCAGCCTGTCCCATTCTGGCTGTCCATCAGAATCACCTGGGGAGCTTAAGCAATTCTAAAAGCACATCAAGAGCACCCTCTCTGCCTAGGGAGAACAATCTTCTGGAAGGATGCCAAACACGCCATGCTCACTCTTGCTATCCAAGTCTCTGTTCTTACCCTCCTTCTACCTCTAGCGAGACCTCCCTCCTCTCCGCCAATCCAAATCTTTCCCACCTTTGGAAAGCGGCTGAAGACCTGTATCTTTTCTCAGCTCTAAAGCACTCGCCCATCTCCTAGTGTCTTTATATCAACTTTCTTAAGAAAGGGATCTTATTTCCTCTTAAGTTAGTGTGTAAAATGTGGTTAGCCCATTTGAGGTGTTCAGTGATTGGATCCTGCACAATATCTAGTCTTTCCATAATCGACACTGATAAATACACATTGAATAGGAGTAAACTTGATTGTGCTCTATTTTTTTTTTTTTTTTCAGGGAAGATAGAAAGAGAAGCTCTGGGATATGGCTTTGCCTTCTAGCCTGGCAGATGAAAGTGTTCAAGGTAGTTTCCGACAGTGGCAGAGCAAAGCCATCACAAGGCAGGTGATGCTTACTGTGACTGTGTCTAATACAGCTCTCTAGGATGCCAGGCCATTGGTTCTTTCATCTGTCTTCCTCCTCTTTGGGCACCTTGGTCCCCAGATCAGGGTTCTTTTCTTCCCAGCACTAGAATATCTAAGATGTGGAGTGGAAAAGATGGATAAAAGAGATGAATTCAAACAAAGTTAACCCTTTGCACTCAGATGTCAAGTGTGGATAACGTCGAGTGGATAATGAGAAAAAAGCAAGTGAGTGCAAAGGGTTAATATAAAAAAATTTTGTGCAAGAGGAATTTTATTTTGTCACTAAAACCTATCATAAAATGTGAGTGGTTTTCACAAGGGAAAAAAGTCCTCAGTTGAATTAAAAAACTGCAGAAACGAAGGATGGAAGCAGAGGCTTCTTGGTTTTGAACTACAAATGGTTTTGCAGCCCTTTCTTAATGCCTGGCTCTGAATGTCCACCTCTTAACCCTGTGGTCCCCAACCCCTGGTACCAGGCCCTGGCCTGTTAGGAACTGGGCTGCGCATCACCACCTGAGCTCCGTGCTGTGGTCCCAGTCCGTGGAAAAATTGTTGTCCATGAAACCGGTCTCTGGTGCGAAAAAGGTTGGGGACTGCTGTCTTAACCTCCCACATGGGAGGAGGTACTGGTGCCCTGATCTCATAGCTTAATTCTCTTCCTCTCTTTTTCTTTTGGATTATGAATGTCTACTGGTGTTAGGCTGCAATAACATCGTTTGTCACTGTCTAACGTGAGGTGTTATGTTTGAGCCTTTTGACTGAGCAGAATAAATTAGTGTCCTGTTTTATTAATGGTATAAATTTAGAAGAGTAGGTTTATTTAAAGTGAGAGACAAACTACGCAGCAAGGGAAAAGACTGAATGAAAATGCCACTTGGAGAAATTGCTTAATTTTCTGCCACCCCCCAACCCCCACTGGGCCAACCATCCCCTTTATAGGGATCTCCCTGCAGGCAGTTTTCAACATCCTAAGCAAGAAACCCTGTTATATTGTCAACTCTATTATAGACTTTCCTCTTCATTTCTGTAGTTCTTAGGGGCAGTGGACAAAATGGCCTTCTTCATTCATTACATGGAATGTTGCAATCTTTTGTTGAAAGGGCCCACCTCTTGCTCAGCACTTCTGCCAAAGGTATTTTACACCCCCCTCTTTACTCAGTGCATTCAATCCCATGCCTCAGAGAGGCTTCCGGTGGCCCTGCACAGCAGGGCTGAGGGTGTCACCTTCTGCTCCAAAGGCCACCCTTTTTCTTCCCAGTTCTGCACAATCCCCTCTGCTCCTACTCAGATTTCCTCCAAGCCACACTCCAGTCTCATGCTGTTCCAGCCACTCTTTTCTCTTTCCCACTTTCCAGAAATCTCCCATATCTTTAATGAGACCCTTCCCAAGTGCTTGGGAGAAGAATGGGTCTCTGTTTTGGAAAGCAATCAGCATGGTTCCTTTACCACTCATCATGCCTTGCCTAAAAAGCATGGAAAAACCAATCCTAAAAGCACGAATAATGTCAGTCATAGTCCTAAGCATTTATGTAAGTTAACTGATTTAATCTTGTCAAATATCCTTTGAAGTGGTGTGATAGTTCATTTTAGGTGTCCACTTGGCTGAGCCATGGTGCCCAGAGAAGTGCTCAAACAAATTACTGAATGTTTCTGCCAGGGTGTTTTCAGATGAGATTAACATTTAAATCAGTAGACTGAATAAAGCAGATTGCCCTTTGGCCTAACCAATCAGGTGAAGCCCTGAATAGAAAACAAGACTGGCCTTGCAAGAGGAAATCCTGCTGGCAGATGGCCTTTGAACTTGAAATGAAGCATTGGCTCTTCCCTGGTCTCCAGCCTGCTAACCCACCCTGCAGATTTTGGACTTGCAAACCTCCATAATCACGTGAGACAATTCCTTAAATTTCTTTATATATATATACATCCTATTGGGTCTGTTTCTCTGGAGAACCTCGACTAATACATGTGGGTATTTTTATGATTATCCCATTTTACAGATATGATAACCAGGTGCAGAGAAGGTAACTTGTCCACGGTCATTATCAGTACCAGTAGTGGTGGTGCAGTTGGGATTCTGTCTGATTCCTGACTCTGTGTTTATCACCACAAGATTAAATACATCTTATGTTGTGTTTACACTTGTTTGTTCATTGGTCTGCCCTGTATATATTTTTTTATCAGAGCATTTTATGTTTTCAGTTGTCAGTTTTGAGAAGACAGACTCTGTCCTCTGGTCAGTGTACCATGTGGAGGCCCAACCTAGACTTTTGAAGGGAAGGCGTTTAGGAGAGTTGCTTATAGGCATGAATGGTGCTCACTGGAAAGGCAGTTAAGTTTCAGTTTGTCAGCTCCTGCCCACCTTCTTTTCAGTCTGATCATCATCTCAAGACAACTAAGTAAAATCCCATAATTTCACCAGTGAACCACATTTTAGACAATATTTCAGCATTACATTTTGGGTTCCCATATGCACATATTTTAGAACAAAAGATTTTCAACATTTTAGAATAGTGGGGTCTTTACATAGGTGCTAACATAGGTCTTTATATAGGTCTAAACATAGGTGCTAGCTCTCAGTACATTGTAAAATGCAGCCCAAATATTGGTCAAAACCATCCTTTCTATTCTGAGGGAAACAGAACCACTCTAGGAAACAAAGCTATGCCTTGGTGTCTGAGGAGACCCACAGCTGAGGGGGGGGGAGGTCCCTGAGCCATGAGAACAGCATCCCCCTCTCAGCTCTGCCTCCATCTCCCAGGGCAGAAGTGTGGAAGCTGGTCTCCTACCCTCACATTCCCGCTTGCTTTCTTTCATGCATTAGCTTAATGGAGTTGTGCTTAAAGTGAGCCTCCAAAGAAGGCATTTTGCTTCTAAAAATCAGTCTAAAAGTTTTGTGACTTCAACAGCTCTGTTGGCACTTTTGGTCTTGGACCAGTTTACATTTTCCACTGGCACCGTGTGGTGATTTCCGCAGGCATTTTATTTTATTTTCTGAGGTACATTCTCAAGACCAGTGGGGTAGAGTGGGCAGCCGGTAGCAGCAGACACCTCTCTGTCTCTGTCTCTCTATTTCTCTCTCTCTCTCTCTCTCTCTCTCTCTCTCTGTCACACACACACACACACACACACACACACACACACACACACACACACACACACACACGGGTCTCCTTTAAGCAGCTCACCACAGCACTATTTCCAGCCTTTCAGGCTATCAGGCACCAAGAGTGTTTAAAGTTTTAATAGGCTTAGAGGTGACTCTAGAGTCCACCAACATCTGCATTCATCTGAAATTTATGGCTGCCTCTTATTTAGTTGGTTTAGTAAATTGCACCTAAGAGTATTCTCTGAGACTTGGCAGCCTGGTGTACAGTTTCACGATTCAGCTGTGTTTTTGCCAACTATTTGGCTTCTTTTATTTTTTTTTTCTTTTGGATGACATTCTCAAATACTTAATTTGGAGCTTTGGTCTGGAACACACTTTATCAGACACCTTTTGTGTGCCAAGAGACCCCTTATATATTCCGTGAAGACTAACTTTCCACATGCTAACACACTTATTTCTAAATTGCTTTTAAAGCCGCCATACTTCCAAATAGCAAGAGGTAAAGCATAGTTGGGTTTGGACCACATCATGCTGTGGCCTCCTGCCTCTCCCACACCCTCCACCCTTCTTCTCTGGATTTTAGTGGAGGGGAAATTCCTCTGTAAGTGGAGAGGTGAGGGTGATGGTGCCCAACAAAATCATAAAATTAATGTCTGTTGCAAAAATGAAAGGGCTTACTTTCTTATGAGGTAGGTGAGGAAATGTTTTGGCCTGACTTCATTTACTCAGTCTAACCATGCCCCAAAGATTAAATCAAGGCTATTATGGGCATAATTTATTTCTCTATCAAGTCTGTCATCATGTGTGTAGATTTGGGATATTATGTTTTCCCACTTTCAGGGGTAAGGTCCATATCTGGCACACACAGATTTAAGGCCATCTATGAAAAATCCCTGAGGTAATTTGTTGACAGTTTCACAGAATATGATTTTCTCATTGAATCTGTGACTGACTTACTATTCCATTTTCCTTTCAGTAAGCATTATGGAGGACTCTACTTCCCAGAATTGAGTTCCCAATTGTGTTGTTGCCTCCAAACAAGAGAAGGTGTAACTCATCTGAATTATGATTAATACAGTGTAATCATGTAATCTGCTAGGAAAATGTGATCTTAAGACAAAAAAAAATTGTGACAGAATTAAATCGTCCACTCATACCATTAATCTTCTTCTAAGGTCTGAGGAGAGATTAGAGGTTAAAATAAATCTTTTAACATCCTTTTTTATGAGGAGAAATAATTTAACCACCCTAATCCTTTGTGATGGGGGAATAGGAATTTAGGTTTTAAGTCTGAAATGTAAACTTCCCTCCACATTTCCTTAAGGGTTTGTGTCTTCTCCCTCTCATTACACTTGTGGGCTGATGGAGAAGTTTCTGAGGCCATGTGTGCAGTCCACTCTGAAACTGACCCACGCTCTGTGTTGCTGCCTCTTGTTCTTATCTCCCGGTGCAGAGATGCCTGACATAAATACATTTTGTGCACACTGGTGGCCGAGACATGAACAATAATTTATTTATTGAGTGTCTATGATCTTTGATTCTTTTTGAATCTAATTTCTCTTCCACATCTATCCTGAATGGCAAGAGTAGAGCAGTTGTCATAAGAATATGATGAAGGACATTCGAAGATGCTTGAAGAAGGAATAAATGGAATAGTGGCTTCCAATCCCTAAGGTCATGCAGAGGCTTCTGCCACCAAATGCTTATCAGGTGCAGGAAACAAGGTCCCAGAGTCAGTGTCCCTGCCTGGTGTAGCCCTCCCCTCACACCCATGAGCATTCCAGGACAAGGGGATGCAACAGGGAGGCTGACCCCACTGGTATTTTTTTGTGGCTATAGATAATGCAGACATGTAATTATTTTGTTAAAAGTACCCATTGATCTGTTACTTTCCTAGAAAGTAAGGAATTGCTCAAAAATTAATGGAGACATATCAAAAGGACACATGAGTCAGCTTGAAGACATTCCTACTGGCCAATCTGGGTCAATTTAAGCCTAATAATAAATAATGATTGTAATGGATTATAACACACTGAAAAAAAAAATCTGTGGGTTTATATTGACACAAGTAGCACAAGTATAAAATAAATGTAATAGGTTCTAGAGATCTACCAGATCCATAGTTATAGAGCCAATAGTTAACAATACTCTATTGTATACTTAAATATTTGCTAAGGGAGTAGATCTTATGTTAAGTGCTCATACCACAAAAGAAAAAAATATTACACAAAATAAAGATGGTAGAAAGAAACTTTGGAGGTGATGTATAAGTTTATGGCCTTGATTGTCATGATGAGAATATACTTTATCTCCGAACTCATCAAGTTTTCAACATTAAATATATATATATAGCTTTTTCTATGTTAATCATATCTCAATAAAGTGGTTTTACAAATGAACCAAAACAACCAAAATAATTCCTGGATTACTTCATAAGTTACAATAGTTGGGACAAAAAACAAAAAAAGGTAAAACCACAATAAACAAGTAAATCACTAAAATAAATAAATATATGCATACATCAATAAAAAAGAAAAGCTAACTAACAACTATAGAATCAATAAAAAATATAACAAAGTAGAATTTCATGCAATAACTATTGAAAGAATGATGGACTTAAAAAAGTAAAGATGGTTGCTAAAACTAGTAAGTGAAAGTTTGATGAGGAACAAGATGCTTTCATTAGCTCAACGTGTCTCCCCACAAGTTACTTATTAATGACACAGGGAAAAATAATTACCTGACAGTGGAGAAATCTGGTAGACACTATCTTTACCAAGTGGTCAAAGTCAACATCATTCAAAGTAGGACAAACCAATAGTGTATGCCTTCCGATATGATGTGCTGAGAAGGGCATGGCATTGCCCCGGGACATTTCTGCCAAAAATGCATCATCCGAGTCTAATCATGAGCAACAGCTGTCAATCCCCAAGTGAGGAACATCTATTACATAACTGGCTTGTAACCTTCAAAAGTGAAAAGATTAAAAAAAAAATGCTGAGGAAATGTTCCCGATTAAAAGAGAATAAGGAGACATGATCACCAAATGCAATGTGTCTTCCTAGATTGAATTCTGGACTAGAAAACAATTAGCCATACAGGAAATTTTGAGGACATTTGGGAAACGCTGAGAATGAACTATGGATTGCATAATAGAATTGCAACAAAATTAAATATTCTTATTTTGAAAATTATGTTGTGGTTATGTAAGGAAATGTCCTTGTTTTTAAGAAATACACGCTGAATTATTAAGGGGTGAAGGCACATGATGTCTTCAAGTTGCTCTCAAGTGGTTGAAAAATAATTTGCATGTATACACAAATGTATATATACATATATACACATGTATACATATACATATATAAAGATATATGTGCACACATAAATATATAGAGAGAAAATGATAATGCAAATGGGATAAAAAACAACTAATGACTCTTAGGGTAAAGGGTATATTGGATGTAACTTATACCATTTTAATAACTTCTCTCTGTGTTTGAAATCACTTCACAAGAAAGAGTTACAAAAAACATTGTAAGATTAAACTTTTAAAAAAATTTCAGAATACTGCGGGGGTTACACACATTTTCGTTACATGAATTGCTTTTGTACGGTTTGAGTCAAAGTTATAAGTGTACCCATCACCCAGACAGTGTGCATTATACTCATTAGGTGTACATTTACCTATCCCCTCTTCTTCTCCCACCTGTTTGATTTCCATTGAGTTTTGCTTCCATATGTGCAGATGAGTGTTGATCAATTAGTTACAATTTAATAGT